TCATTATCTATTCTGGTTTCTGACTTCATATTGCTATCCATTTTACTATGCATTTAGTAAGAGAGTACCAGTAAGAATACTTTTACAATGCAATAAGTGCTTGAAATAGGATACAAAGTCCAACAGTCAACAGTCACAATTATTTCATGAATTTCTTTACAGTAATAATCTGGTTAATGCTTATCAATTCTTCCCAAGGGCAAACTAAAAGCTAATGAAAGTGTTACTTTATGAACTCGTGTGATAATGAGAGGTGCCCTTTACAAGGATATCTGGGAAAATCTGATCTCAAACTCTAACATCAAAATGTTCCTCATTATTATCTAAACACGGGAACCAAAGACTTCCAAAATTTTAATACACGACTGAGGAGAGGACACAAGATGTCAAGATTGGAATACTTTTTCTTGGTTCCACTGAGGAATATGAGTAAATAAATACCACATTATATATTATCGCTTGCCCAGGAATTGGAGAATGTATCAGACATGTGATATAGATATATTCTTTCATTTGATGTGGCCAGTGGCTGTTACACTATACTGTATAAGGTCAATCTATAATATATGCAAGTGTTTAACATAAATAATGATACATGTCTAGACAGTTTTCCTCATAATAAATTTAGCCAAAAAAGTCTTCAACTACAATAAAGGAGAGCATAGAAGCAAATCATTGCTTGAAGGAAGGCAGACAGTTTTATAGAACATGCCAGTAAGACTCTCATATAGAGAGGCTAAAATAGATTCAGCTTGACAAAGGTCGACTATGAGCCCTCAAGGACAAATACTATGCACTGAATTTGTCAAAAAAGATAGCTATCCAGTGTTGCAGTGGTTTCTGGATGGAGATTGAAGACTTGCTTTTATCTAGGACATTTTAATCAAAGCCAACCATTATGACAACAGTTTGTTTAATCACAAGACTGAGAGATATAATGGCCTGTCACCATTACAGGCATCTCACACAGTCATTTAGAGAGAGAGAGAGAGAGAGAGAGAGAGAGAGAGAGAGAGAGAGAGAGAGAGAGAGAGAGAGAGAGAGAGAGAGAGAGAGAGAGACAGAGAGAGAGAGAGACAGAGAGAGAGAGAGACAGAGAGAGAGAGAGAGAGACAGAGAGACAGAGAGAGACAGAGAGAGAGAGAGAGAGAGAGAGAGAGAGAGAGAGAGAGAGAGAGAGAGAGAGAGAGAGAGAGAGAGAGAGAGAGAGAGAGAGACAGAGAGAGAGAGAGAGACAGAGAGAGAGAGAGAGACAGAGAGAGAGAGACAGAGAGAGAGACAGAGAGAGAGAGACAGAGAGAGAGAGAGAGAGAGAGAGAGAGAGAGAGAGAGAGAGAGAGAGAGAGAGAGAGAGAGAGAGAGAGAGAGAGAGAGAGAGAGAGAGAGAGAGAGAGAGACAGAGAGACAGAGAGACAGAGAGACAGAGAGACAGAGAGACAGAGAGAGAGAGAGAGAGAGAGAGACAGAGAGACAGAGAGACAGAGAGACAGAGAATTTGTGTGAGTGTGAGTGTGAGTGTGAGTATGTGTGTGAGTATGAGTGTGAGTTTGCATGTGTGCACCAATGTATGCGTGTGTGTGTGAGTCCCTCTGTGTATGTATGTGTAGGTATGTATTTGTGTGTTCAGGGGGGGTGATTTTGCATCCATGCACCCATGTGTGTGCATCTGTGTGTCTAATTTAAAAGATTTAACGTTTATTAAATGAACAAACTGTATGCACTACAATTTTCCTTAAATAAGAAGTTCCTGCCTAATTCACAGAAGCAGGCATATGTGTAATGATGTGTTCTAAGAAATGATTAGTCTTTTCCTGTACATTTTCTACATCTCAAATAGTAACCAAGTAGAATACTTATAACTAGAAAATAATAATTAGTAACATAGGTAATATAAAAAAAAAAAATAATGATCAACAAATCTTTTTAATACATAAACAATTAAATCAAAACTAGCCTGAGCAAAGTAATAAGAATGAATAAATCTGATAGTTTACAATTAAAGACAAAATGTACTTATTTCAATCATCTTGAACATAAATACCTAATTTCAACTTAAATAAAGTGAGTGTCAATAAATGTCAAATGATGATTTGATGATACTGATGATCTCCATGTTATTATATCATGTTAAAGCAGAATAGGCTTATGCAAAGTAAAAAATGACAAAGAACACAATGCAACAACGGCATATGTAGGTGATGATAATTAAGTGCAAAAACTTTCTCTTTCTCTTTGTTTTGTTTTTTTTTCTAAAATTATACCACTGAAGCAAGCAATATTCCTAACCCTTAAGAGGGTGGTTGAGGGGGTGGGGGGTGCTCACACCTTCAGGACTAGAAAGTAGCTTGTGAGTGAGCTCTAACACAATACTGGATTAAGTTACAAGCAGAAGTAAAGCACAGGCACTGCACTTCAGTCTTGTGAAACCTAGTTCTGATGCAACGCTAATATGGAGCACTTTCGCAAAATATGTAGGTGAAAAAGTCATGGATAAATAAAACGGCAGCTAAGAGGAGAATAGAAGAAAAAATCATGATTTAGTATTTAAAGCTATCAGATAAAAGTGAAGAAAAGTGCTAAAAAATGATAATCATGATGACAATACATTTGTTAAGATCAGTCCACTGTAATCATAAGTTTTATATCTATTCTAAGTAGCAACCCTAACTCTGGTAAACTATCAGATCTTATAAACTAACCCATAAGAAACCATACTGTTTAGTTGTGTAAAATGACTAAACATTTTTAGAATCCTGTATATTACATTAATATCATTGAAGATATCTTATACCAAAGACAAATTCTTCTTATTAACATCTGTCAAATCCATACCCCTTCTAGCAATGAAAGCAGATTCTACCAAATTTCATACCAATAAAATTGGTGAATGTTTATGAGACACCTGCGTGTTGGCCACTAGCCACACGTCTACTGATACTCTGGCAGAAAGCCAACAAACTTCAGCCATGCATTTTCTGATAAGACTCAGCAATTCATTGTCAAATAAGGAACCAGTCTGAGCTATCTTGCCAGAATATATGTAGCAGAGGTTTGCTGGTCTTTGCTGGTATACAAATTATGGAGACCAAGGCCAGTACTCGACAATGTACCCCTCCTCTTCTGATGGACTTCAGATTGAAAGTTTTCCATCGCATCTCACAACACAGCTAATATAAGTAAGAGAAAAAAATAAAAATAAAGAAAGAAGGCTGTTGTAAAAGTCTTCTAAGCTTTTACTCTAAAGTACTTTTTTACTATTCCTTGAAATGAAAATTGGACAAAGACTTGGCAACCAAATTCCGATTCTTGAAACTGCAAATACTCCGAGACACTACTAAAAAACATGAATTTTGAATAATAGTTGTTATTCAATAAATGCCTAGGATTCTTGATGTAATATAAATGTAGTCTAGGAATTTGTTTCTTCATAAATATTAACTAGTAAGATTGGTAAGTACTTAGAAGACACTTTCCATGGCTTTCAAATAGCAGTTATATTAACAGTTCCTGTGATCTGCGTATGGCTTACACTGTGTAGCCAACAGCATAGTGGCATGCTGTCATATAATCACCACAGTCCCCTTGCTTCATGTTCTGGCAACAACCAATCCTTCCACCTCAATGTATTCTGGCAATACAGTGCTAGGCTGGTTACTTACTTAATAATTAATGTGACTACAATCATCACTCTACCTGACTTTATATGGTAGAAATTTGTTGTTTTTCACCAAACTACCAAGTATGGAGCCACACCATTTAGCAAGATGCTAATAAAGGGGTCTTCTAAACACGTAACTAAAAACTAAAACTGAACTAGGCCTATACACACAAAATACTATAAATACTAATAATATTTTCTAGGCATGCAAAGACAACTACCACAGAAACATCCATTCACAACACTAATAAGGTCTTCCTGACTTTGCTTAAACTTTTAATACAATTTTGCACAGAATGTCATAAGAAATATAAAAAGGCTTTCCAATCCTTAATGACAGAAACATCATTAAACTGGGCATTCCTTTCCAAAAGGCACACACCCTGCTCTCTCCCTCCATAGGCCTAAGAGAGCCTTGCCTTATGTAAGCTGACCTTGTCCTACCTTACAAGAATCACAATGACACAACCCAACCTTTCCACATTGTCCAATCCTAATCTATGCTAAGCTAGTGTTACGACACACAAATCTGGCTATGCAAATCTCCTTCCTGTGCCGAGAACCACAGCACATGCCTCAGCGTACACAGCCAGGTCTGTGCCCCAAGATTTAACCAGGTGACTCTGGCAGGCGTGCGTCTCCGTACGAATACCTTCCCGACCCGAGTTACATCCCTCACAAGCAAGCCGTCTACTCGTACCACGTAGCTGTGGTGAAAAACAGCGAGCAAAGGCCATTTCCCCGACTCCCTCCCACCAAAACGCCCCCCATCTAGGTCTGTGAAGGAAATCCAGCCTATAATTTCCCACTGAGGCAAAGCCAAAAGCCTAAATTAAACAGAAATGACAATCAAAACAAACCCTGGCATCATGAGCACCAGAAAAAAAAACGACATGACTTAAAAAATAACCCTAAAATAACAACTTGAAAAAAAAAATCCAGGTAACTTATAAAAGGAACATCAAAGCCACACCATTTCAACACCAACGGCCAAAGAAAGTGGGCAGCAAGTCTAAGGAAACGATATCCAGTTGAAGCTGAGAGTATTTCCTCCCCCACCCCCCTTTTTTTCATTTATTTTTTTTTACATTTTCATCCTGGTTTTGGCTGAGTATAGGCCTACGACCACACCCAACGTCCTCTGCCTCCCCCAAAGACTTCCTGTTCCACGAGGTTGTTCTCCCGGGGTCTAGAGAACACCGAGGTCCGGAGAGGGAAGGGAAAATCACCCCCCGATGCCAAACATTTCCAACATTACCAGCATTTCCATCACTTTGAGGCCCTGTGATGCAGCCACACTCTACCCCTCATTTCCTTCCCTCTCTCTCTCTCTCTGGCTTAC